GAGAATTTTTAGGTTTGAGCAACTAGGGAGGCCACATTATTATGAGTTGAACATCTCAAAGATGGAGAGTCTAGGGTCTAGGGTTCAAGTTTAAGAGTATCCAAGAGATGTTTGATGATTGCATTGCCTCTTTTTGGTGGAGCAAGGCCTTCTTCCTGCATTCTAGTTAATTTATGCACTGTGATTCGTTTGCCATATTGGCAAAGGCTGAATAAAGTAATTAAGAACCTAACTATAAAATGTACCACCTAATCAACGGTTTGGATTCACACTATAACTACGTAGAATATTTGGGCAAAAAATGCTTCCTCTTTCTTTCTTTTTTCCTTTTTTTTTTTACGATACAAGCGATACTAAAAAAAAAGGGATTTAAACTCAAAACCTCTATGCGATACAAGCCATACTAAGGAATACCACTATGTCTGGTGTGTATAGAGGTTTGTTAATGCAGGGCCCTTTTCAACACTAAAAATAATGCAAGCTAGGAAAAAGGCCACGAAAGGCCCAATAAAAGTTAAAAGCCCAAAGAAGAATAAGAAGCCCAAGGCTCAACAAAATTAAAGAGGGGGACCACTCACTAGCGTAGTCCGACTGACCAACATAAAGTACTTTCCGACTCCCAAGACACATGGGAAGAGCGACAACTTTATGGTACAAATCTTTAGGAGCATACCTACTCAAGCACCACTCAAGGCACATGTCAGAAGTCTATGACGAGACGTAAAGGCGGTTGGGCTGCTACTTGGAGTGACATGGTTGACTAATCAAGATCGGGTAGGTTGCTCAACACACATTGATCTTGAAGGGCGTGCAATTCCGACTGAGCAAGTGTCTTTTCACTACTGAATATCGACTGATGGTCAAAAAGGTTGTCAGCACGCTAGTTGATATAGGTGTCAAATTAAATGCTTGAAAAATAAGACTAGGTGAGCCTAAGGCTTTCTGAGTTCATGGAGGGCCTATATAAGGGGGTGGGAACCTCTTGTAAGGGGGTTAGACAACTTAAGGGACATAGAATTCTTGTATTTAGCCGAGCGCTATTTGTAAACTTTGAAATCAATATAATATGAGCAACACAGAGGATGTAGTCCTGTTTTGGGGTGAACCACTTAAATCCTGAGTCTATTTCATTTTACTTTCAATTCCAAGCCTACCAAGGGCTAATTATTCTACTTTTTGAGCTTTAACAAAGTGTCAAATGGACATCTCGGTTTCAAGTTGGAGTGCATGTTTGAGTCGTACTTGAGTTGGCCCACTTAGTAAACATGTTGGGTCGACCTGTTGGCCATAATCTCGACCTAGCACTTGTTATAAGCTAGGGCCGCTTTTAAACGGATTGGGCTGATGATGCCTTAATTTAACGAGCTGACGTTGGCCTATTTGTTTGACACCTTTAAATGTATATGTTCTTATAGCACAATTCTGAGCATGATTGAATGCATTAAGATTCAACAACATGACATGCTTGAATGTTTGACATGAGAAATCAGTCTCTTTCTACATATTTACTAGGGAGTTTTAACAAAAAGTCTGTGGTACTGTTCACTTTAACGGAAAACCACATTTTTACACTAAAAAGTCAATCATGGTACTATTCACTTTACCCTTTATTTTTTCCTTATCATTAAAACTCAAAGTTTTCAAACCTTTATCATTAGTTTTCCTTATTTACTAATCATGAACTCGTAATTAACTAATAAGAGGTTTCGGTACCACCTCGGTACCGAACCGTGCCCAGGCCCATAAACTCAATTACTACTGAGAGCGAGAGGGAGGGGAAATATTTCCTTGAGATTGTTTGTTGCAGGAGTTGGAATGGACCCTCCCTACCCAACCCTAGCGGGTGGTGGATGAGGCCCCTTACAGCCACCACAAAATCCATGGTAGCTCTCACGACCGACATTACGACACGTGTCCACGTGACCTTCGTTGCTCATACGGCTGCAAATGCTGCCACGTGTCTTGTCGCTGCCCCACGTGACATGGACCTTCCATTCCAGGCACAGTACACTACATGAAGTTTTGCTGTTCTTGTTTCATCTTGGCGACGAAGCAGATTTGATGGAAAACTTGTGGAGAGTTGGCTAAAAAAAACATCAAACGTGGTCGGCTCGACGATAATTTGACGTATACGTGATGTTATTAATTTATTTATTATAATATGTAGATAGTAATTTTATTTTTATAAACAAACACGTATTTTATAGTATTGTTAAATTTGTAATGCAACGTAAAAGTAGTTGTGGTCACGTTAAAAATATCTCGATAAATCAAATGAAACCTTCTTCTAAATCCTGCATTCACCAATAGCCACGACATGAGTTGCTAGACTTGTAGATTTCAAACAACCGAGATATCAACAATGTCAAACATGAACTCATATCAGAATCTAATTTTTATTTGGTGTATATACAATCATTTGAATTTCGTTGTTAATTTACAAATTTTTTAATTTAATAAAACTTGAGGAACATAAGAAGTTCACTCTAAAAAGTAATCACACACTAATTTTTAGGACGGACACGAAGGAGTAGACTAAATTAATCTAAATTGCAAATGTAGAGAAAAAAACACACTGCTCTAATCAACTTAATAAGAAACTTTATTTTTGTAATTTCTTTTGACACTTGATTGGATGCGAATTCAATGTATTAATTCCTAAGCTATATATCCCTAGTCATTAGTCAATTCCTTGACAAACAATAAGTCTAGGCAACACCAATTTGGATGGAAATTTGTAATCAAATTAATTAATATAGCTGCAATGACTTATTAGTTCCAAGTCACATTGAGCCGAGTTTGTGGGTAAGGATTGATATGACAGAAAAATAAATGAAATGAGAGATATTCTTTCATGTAATCGACCATACTATTATCTTTATATTTCTCATCATCAGAGCCGGCTTTGAGGGGGTGCAAGTGGTGCCACTGCAGAGGGCCCCCAAATTGGAAGGGCCTCTGATTTTTCAATTTTGCATGCATATACGTATATATACACAGGGGGTGTATGTGTAGAATATTGCAAACTTGAGTCTTAGCGCAAATGATATTATTACTTCTTTACATCATCCTAGGGGATGGGTTCAAAACTTGTGTCCATCTTTTTTTTTCCGTTTATTTTTATTAAATGCATAAGCTTCCACAAAATAATATAAAAATTTCACACAATAATATGACAATTCGAACCCTCTAAATAGTTAAGAAAAAACAATATGCCACATATCCACTTGTTGATTTGTTAAATTTGTTTGTGCTATTAGAATTTATATAAGCTCAATTGAAAACTAAAGTTTTTTTTTTAACAAAAAATAAAAAATAAATTCTTAGTATTTTTTAGGGCCTCCAATTCACTTTCGCACAGGGTTCCTGAAATCTAAAGGCGGACACTGCTCATCATGTGATCCGCTCACGTTATAATATAGAAAGAAAAGAGAGATATCCCATTATATCCAATTTTTTTTCCTAAAACGGTTTTATATCCCCATGTTGTATCTCACTCTTAATATGAGATATAAGTCATGCGAAGCGTTGAGACGTGCGCGTACAAAAATGTTATTCTCTTATGGAAAACAATATACTCGCTTTCTTTTTCCCTACACTCATTTTCTTTTCTAGTAGTTAGATTTAATAAATTCAAAAAAGAAATTAAGAGACAAAACAAAGAAATAAGTACAGAAAGAGAAATGATTTACTTTTTCTCCTAATCCGATTCACAGTGTGGACTCGCATACGTGTATTTGTGGGTGCGTGGAAGCTTGCAAGCCCCTTTGTTATACTGTGGTCCTTGGCTAGTTGGCGTAGCAAGCATTCTCTGATGCCACACATTTTGTACATGAGCAAGCAACACTACAAACAAATTTATAAAAGTGATGGCGAAATCTGTATATTTTCTGAGTGGTACTATCTACACATTTTTTTTAATCTTTTACACATTTTTTTTAATTTTCGGCTGTCGGATTAAATAATTGAAAAAGATCAAAATACATAAATTAACGAAAAATGTGTGATAAGTTAAAAAAAAAATGTATAGATAACATTATCCTATCCTCAACTATATATAATACCTCAATATTGGTCTTTTCTGGCCCCATATTTCTTCACCTATCATCTAGCCTGTTCCCATCCGCATTTATCATTGAGGTCTCCGCGCATTTATAGTCTTTATCCCACAAGGAAGGCAAATCAAATGTGACAAATCAACTTACATGTAGAAAATGAATGGATAAATGGGAAAAAACCTATGGTCTCTACACAGTCTTACACATATCCAAACTGTTCATGTTGGGACAAAGTGTTGTTAATCCACATGTTACGATATAACTGATATTTTATATAAGGATTATATTATTAATAAACAAAGAAGTGATTTCTGAACGCCTCTTGTTCTTCTCATGCACAATCATGTTTATTTTTCACATTTAAAAAGAAGAATGAAGGAACATAAATTTCAAAGATTAGAAATGAACAAAGGTGCATAAACGGAGAAAAATGGTGTCCATAGATCAACATTAACAACAACAACAAAACTTTATCCCACAAAACGGGTCAGTATATATGCGTGTTATGACATTGAATTGATAATACTAAATAGCTGTGTGAGTATTAATGATTAAAAAAATATGAGTAAAGTGATAATATCACGTGACGGTGTGAGATTACACAATAAAAAACAAAAGTTGTGATGAAATGCAGCTTTCCAAGATCTCACCATATGCATGTTTGATACGGATCTGGCTTCTGCCCTCCCACTTCTCATACACTTCCATCTCCTCATATTTGTGCGGTCATAGTTAAGCCACATCAATATTATATATTAATATTGATTTTTGTCTTATTATCTCTGTAAAAAAATCAATATAAAATGTTGACATGACTTAACCGTGATCGCATAAAAGAGGAGGAGATGATAGTGTATGTGAAGTGGGAGGACAGAGAAGCCGGTCCGTTTGATACGTTTGGGAAATTTGGGGGTCATATTTATTGAGCAATAACCTCAGGACAAGAGCCTTATCTTCCTCTCCATCTCTTTTCCTATCTTTGCAGCAATGCACCAGCCCCATATATAGAAAAAAAAACCTACCACAAGTACAAACCTTTTTAGTTTTTACACTATATCTGATACCGTACGGTAGAGACGATCGCAGAGGAACAGATTATGTAATTCATCAGGACTGGTGGTTCTTATGAATTCTGCCATTTTTGTCGATTTGTTGGAACTGGGCATGGCTGCCTTCATTGCTGTCAAAGCTCAGTGAAAACTTTATATTCTGAGACATCAAACTCGATTTTCGAGCAGGTCCTTCCATGCAAAGTTTCAATTTTCAGTTAATTTCTTTGCCTGCTAATCTCTAGTACTTTGAATTATGGTAATTGATGAATGATGAGTGATGTTTGATTCTTTTCCACTGCACTCTGCGCTTGAAAAATAGCAAATTCTTGATGAACTTTAGCTGCGGAGTACTTCGCTCAAGTTTGAACAGTTTGACACTGTTTGTGAGAAACGAGCTTATAGATTACGTTCTTAGCTTGGGCAACCTATGTAATTTAACATTCTATTTGTTAATATTTTTTTTATTGGTTTGTGAATTTTGTAAATTTTGAGTTGAGCGATATGTTTCAATGATTACATTTACAAATTTTGTGTGGACCATTCTCCAACAATTTTTGAAAATTTAAATTAAATGATGACAGGTGGTGAATTTTCTGTTTCCAATGGAGGTCTTGAATCTGAAAGATGTTGGAGCAAACCCTAGCAACAAGCAAGCTGCTGATATTGTGGAAAGTGGATCAGGAAGCACTTCTGCTCCAGCTGGTAGAAGGGATTCCATCAACAAGTGGATGGCATTCAGAACTGATCAGGCTTCGGCTGATCCTAAAAGCACTTCTGCCACTGGTTCAAATGGAGGGTATGCTTCCAATTCCGGCAACAACCAGATTATCACAGAGAAGGAAACAATAGCAGCAAGAACAGCTGAGTGGGGTGTGGTTGTGAAATCATCAGACATTGGAGAAGGAAGCTTCACGGGCGTATCTGGAAGGAAAACTTCATCGGGGAGATTTGATTCGTCTGCAAGGAGTTCTGAGGACTCAAATTATGGGGGTGAGATGGGAAATATTCCTAGGGTATCTAATGAGTTGAAGGCAGCTCTGTCAACACTTCAGCAGACTTTTGTTGTTTCTGACGCCACAAACCTGATTGCCCAATTATGTATGCTAGTAGTGGCTTCTTTGGGATGACTGGGTACTCTTCGAAGGAGGTCATTGGCAGGAACTGGTAAGTTACTAATTTTTAGCACATTTTGGTTTGCCTAGATGTGTTGGAAAATTATACGATCACACAGTTTAACATGTTATGTTGTTAAATTGTTAATTTAAACAACTTCAATGTATGGTGACGTTGATAATTATGCGGTAATATAGTTTGATATGCATGTCCGAGTATCAATTTGGACCATTTCTTAGACATATTGTTTTTGTTTCAATAGACGGTAATTTGACAACGTAACATGTCATAATGAGTTATCTTATAATTAGTGGTGGTGATGATAAGGGGTCCTCCTATGATTCTTTTCCAGTGATGCTACCTACACACTATTTTTATCTTCTACACATAATTTGTTAATTTTGATTATTTGATCATGTTTAATTTATTCAATTCGACTGTTGAAATTGAGAGCGGACATTTTATTTTGGGTTACTGTCATTTATTTCTTGCACCCCCGCCGTCGTTTTAGGCTAAACCAAACAGCTGCTATAAATACACAGTGAGTTGAAATCAGGACATAATTACCGCGCAACCGCACTCCTTTCAGTTCAGTTCAGTTCATCCCCTTCTGTGATTTTAGGGTTTCGTTCAATTTCGGTCAAAATTTCTGGTCCGAGTTTCAATTAACCACAATGTGTGGCTCCACCTTAGCCAAGAAGAAGAGATCGAAAAGAAAGGAAACAAATTGGAGCCCTAAATTTGTGATGTTTTGGGTGCAGCCGATTTCTTCAGGGACCGGAAACGGACCGGAACGAAGTGGCGAAAATCCGAGACGCAGTCAAGACCGGGAAAAGCTACTGCGGTAGGCTCTTCAACTACAAGAAAGATGGAACACCCTTCTGGAATCTTCTCACCATTACCCCAATCAAAGATGAGAAAGGAAACACCATCAAATTTATTGGGTCAGTCCCCAAACTTCTGAATTTTATGATTTGTTTTTTATTTTGAATGCTACGTATTGATTTTAATGCAAGTTAGTTAGTTAGTTAGTTAGTTAGTTAGTTTTTTTTTTCTTTCGAAGAATTTTGAGCATTCTAGTAAACATAAACAGTTATTGATTTTGCAGAATGCAGGTTGAGGTCAGCAAGTACACAGAAGGAGTGAATGACAGGGCACTGAGGCCGAATGGATTGCCGAAGTCGCTAATCCGCTATGATTGTAAGCTAAATTGGTTAATTTTCGGAGTTTTAAATGGTTTTCTTACTTCATTTCTAATGGAATTGTGTTGTTTATGGATCAGCTCGCCAGAAGGAGACGGCGTTAGGCTCCATTACGGAAGTTGTCCAAACAGTAAGACATCCACGTTCTCACATCCAGGATGTGCGTCATGACACTGCCAGCATTCATGAGGAGCAGGACAGCCTCAACGCTGATTATGTTCTGCCTAAATCTGCTGCAACTGCAAGTATGAGTACACCTGGTAGACAAACTCCTCAATCGGATGTGAAAGGCGATAAATTTCGCAGCATGAGCTCTCCTATTGATGCTGGCAAAATATCTCGAAAGTCAGGACGCACTTCCTCTATTGGGTGAGTACATTCTATTTTCAAATCCAAATTGTAATTGTTCACCAGTGTTTAATGCTATATTCCCCGTATTTCAATATTTAAAAGTTACATTTAAAGTTAGTTTGACCACCATTTGATCAGGTGTTTGATGTTCTCTTGCAGATTTAAAACACGGTCTCTAAGCTCTGCAAGCAGGCATGAAAAAGAACCTATTATTGAACCGGAGGTTTTGATGACCACAGATATAGAGCCCTCTGACAATTGGGATGGTACTGAAAGAGAAAGGGATATACGCCAAGGAATTGACTTGGCAACCACATTGGAACGCATTGAAAAGAACTTTGTGATTAGTGATCCTAGAATTCCAGATTGCCCCATTGTAAGAATAATTATTTTTAATATGCAACTTTCTTCCAGTCTCACTCTTATTTAAATATATTCCAATTTTCATTTTCCACCTCTCTAAATTGATGTTGCACTACCACATGAATGCACTATGCTGAGGATCCCACATTATACAACCTCATGTAACTACTTAGAGCCATAACTAATGATTTTTACTCACACAGAGTAAGTTCAGTTGTTGATTTGTTGTTTTCTAGGACCAACTTTTTGAAATTTGATCTACAATTTTCTTGTAGTTTCTCTATCCAACTTATATTGCATCTTGCAAGCCAAACTCAATTTCAAGCATATAAGAGAGCATTTGAGGTGTGTAGTTCTTTTTCTAAGATATCTAGCTGCAGACTGCGGATCACTGCATATGATAGGTGATAATAGAGTTAGTTCATTTTACTTGCTTGCTTTCCTGTACTGGTAATGCGTGCCGGAACAAGATTGCTCACTGTCATTAATACTACTATTCCCAAGGAAGATTCAGTTCGCATTTTCCTTTATTATGCACTTAAGAAGCATCAAGGTTTTCACTGAAAAATTACTCGAATTAAAATGTATGGTTTAAGCATGGTGCATGTTATATTTGAAAATGAGTTTAATAGTCTTTTGACTCTTTTCTGTGCAGATATTTGCATCTGATAGCTTCTTAGAACTGACAGAATATACCCGTGAAGAAATTTTGGGAAGAAATTGTCGGTAGGAAGTGTACTCTATTTATGCATTTTTCTTAACAAGGTCATTTACTTCCTGCTGTTTAACTTAAGCATGTTATATTGTATTCTTGTTATCCATTTATAATTATCAATTAGGTAACTTAGACTCTTAGTCCAACTTCCCCTATCTAATATGAATCGTATGAAATTAGAATTAAGACTTACTTGTCATTGTTGCTATCTATTCCCCCTATCTAGTATATTGTTCATTTGTATGAGAAACTTTATTAGAGATGGCAATAGGAATTTAATCTTCTTTATCTGTTTCATAGTTTTCTCCAGGGACCTGAAACAGATCAAGCTACTGTCGCAAAGATAAGAGATGCCATTAGAGAACAAAGGGAAATTACTGTACAGTTGATCAACTATACAAAGAGTGGTAAGCAGCCTTGGAATTTCTGATGCTGTACATATCTATAATGCCAGTTAAATGAATTGCTGGTTCATGCCGGCTGGAAGACAAGAATATAAATGACATTTGATTGCCAAGTGCCATGTGGTGTATAAATTCTTTTTCTGTTTAACTTGCTCCGTTTGTTTTGGAGGTTTTGCGTTACATCTTCCTTTCCTAATGGTTATCATTTCTTGAATTGCAGGAAAAAAGTTTTGGAATTTATTTCATTTGCAGCCCATGCGTGACCAGAAGGTAACTTTGTGATTCTTATTGTAGGTTCAAACTTGTTTCTGATCAAATTCTCCTGCATACCTTATTTTGGTTGAGTTGATTTTAATTTTTATAGGGTGAACTTCAATATTTCATTGGTGTCCAACTGGATGGGAGTGGTCATGTGGAACCTCTGCGAAATCGCCTATCAGAGACCACAGAGCTAGAAGGTTCTAAATTGGTAATTATTTTCCTATTATTTGAATGCTGTCTATAGAACTTAATTATTTATGTACTGTTGTAGTCATGATGCTGATGCCTTCCTAATGTGACAGTTCTAAATAGTCAGAAGAATATCTTTTCAAAGCAATGCCAATTGTTTTGGAAGTTGGCTAGAAATTGAATATATATTTCAATAGCCTGATCATTCAGCATATGGCCCAATTAATTGAGAGAGATAAAAAAGGAGAAGTAGATTGCTAGGTAATAAACTTGTTTTCACTTTTCAACATACACTGCATTTTAGAAAGAAAATACTTACGGTTTTGGGCATTTGTTATCATGGACAAGATGAGCAATAAATAGATGCTTTTAAAACTGATGAACCTTTCGTTCTATGATCTCACATCAGCACATTTTCAATCCATGTTTGGCATAGTCTTATCACTGGTCTCATTGATGTATATTTAATACCTTTTTCATGTACTACTGCTGATGTTTAAGTGTTTTTTTCTATATTATCAGGTCAAAGCTACAGCACACAATGTTGATGAGGCTGTTCGAGAACTTCCTGATGCCAACTTGGTAAGGTACTCTTTTTGCGCTGAGTTAAAATGTCCAATGAGTTGATCGGTTGTATTTTCTAAACTAAATAAACATTTAAATATATTCTATTGAGATATTTCAGATTCAGATTGGGTTAATAATTGGTATTGAAAAATAATGTAAAATATCTGTGATTTTAATAATTTTACACTTCATTTCATTTTTGGTTGCTACATCTTTTATGCAATGATGGGATCTAATATCTTTATGGCTGTAATTTGGAACTATAGCTGATGCAACTTTTATATTATATCAATTATTTAGAAACCAGAAGATTTATGGGCAATTCATTCTCAGCCTGTCTTCCCAAGGCCTCACAAAAGGGAAAATCCTTCTTGGACAGCAATACGGGAGGTATCAATCCATTTTTCAAATAATATTTTTGTGTTAAACTTCATGTACTCTAGGTTAAGAATTTTATTAGTCTACTTAAACTGGCTATCTGGATTCATATTTATAACTTTCTTAAACTGGCTATCCGGATTCATATTTATAACTTTCTTTCTCTTTTAGCTGAGGTAGATAGACATACAGGCAATTTAAATTTAATTGTCAAGTGATATTACTTGTAGTGTTTTGACTAACATCGCTATTACTTATATTCAGCATTCAGATGTTTTAGCTTTCTTATTTACCATTGAGTTGCATTGTGGTGGTGTTGACATGTATTTTAGTTTCTGTAGTCTCTAGGCCACCACAAGTTACAGTTACTTCTTGATGGTGTTGAGAATCAAGATATAGTGTTTATGAGCTTCACAAGTTTTTGTATAAGCTGTCTCCATCACTAATGTCTTTTTAATAATCTTATTCATTTTCTATAGATTACTGCTCGCGGTGAAAAAATTGGTCTACATCATTTTAAGCCCATAAAACCATTGGGATGCGGTGATACTGGAAGGTAGTGCAATTTATTCACCGTTGATGATGTATGTAATTGAGTGGTGTTCAGCTACGGTTATTGTTGTCATTTCTTCGTCTAAAATTGTATTTATATTCAGGTTATTAGGCAATTGTTTATACAGTGCATACAAAAAAATATTCATTATCTAGCTTCTGGATCTCTAATTTTCAGTTACGTTACTATGGTATTTTTGCAGTGTACATTTGGTGGAACTACAAGGTACAGGTGAACTGTATGCTATGAAGGCAATGGAGAAGTCAATAATGTTGAACCGTAACAAGGTATGAACACATAAGTGAACAGCTGCATTCTTCAGCAGTGAATAAGCATACATCTCAGCGGTGTCCAGAAAAGGAGCTTTGCAATTTTGTGCATGAATGTGTCACTTGTGCGCCTTTGCATGTCTGGCTCTTGATTGCACATGTGTGGTATTTTCACACATACACATATGGATGCCCATGTTTGTTTGTGCATAACCAGTATAACATCTTTATTTATTCTGAGGGTCACATATTGCTATTTTATATTACAGGTTCACCGAGCATGCATTGAGAGGGAGATAATTTCGCTACTCGACCATCCTTTTCTTCCCACACTGTACACCTCATTTGAGGTAATTCTGCATGTGAATATTTTGGATACATCCATGCATGCATATGCATGTGCACTAATAAGCATAGACGTATCTGATTGGGAGTCAGTTCAATCCTCTATATTATCTAAATCAAATATATCTTCTTGTTAGTGAATGCTATCTTAACCCCGAAAAGCTAAACCTATGTTGCAACAACATTAGAGGACAGACAGACACTGTTCCTTCTAATGATTGTACATGTTTTACAAAGGAATTATTCTTGTAGAATTCAAATAAATGAAAGAGGAGATTGGATTTCTCTTTTTAGTTGGAGGGCCAACTTATACAGTTCATCGAACTTACAAGGCCAAGTTTAATAACATATCAGTATTTCTTCAAGGGGATTATCACACATACAACATGATATTTCTACTATTCTCGAATTGGTGTCTGTTATACAAGTAATCCAGCCATGACCTGTCATATGCTTGGCAAGCTTGACAAGTAAAAATAGATATCTGGACTCTGTGTCTCAAATCTACAATCGTTTATGGACTGCATTTGACTTTTGACTACGTTGGTGTTGGCTCTATAATTCCTATGGAAAAGAAGACAAAACAGGGTTCAAAGAGAGTTGTAATAAGTTGGTTAATTGTCTTCAAGCTTCATTTATGCAGCTTGAAAGTTTCTAATTTGCTGACTAATGGTATAAGTTCAAGTATACTGATTTTTTTTTCATCTCCTCAGACTTCCACACACGTTTGTTTGATATCAGACTTTTGCAGTGGTGGAGAGTTATTTGCTTTACTTGACAAGCAGCCGATGAAATTATTTAAGGAGGAATCTGCGAGGTACTTTTACTTTTGTACTCTTAACATCTCTTGGTACCAAATTAAAGCTACCACTTTACCCACTATTGATTGGATTTAATGATAGGAAAACATTAATCTGATTTTGCTACTTTAAACTCTTGCTTGTGTGGAATTCAACTACAGTTCAGTAATTTCTAGGGAGAGATGCTGTGCTTTGTGTTGATTGACATTCAACACGAATCCAAATGCGGTTGTGTATGCTTTCTATTTTGCTAATGATGAAAGTTAATGATAACTATTGGATTTGTTTGTGATATAACTAAGGATCGAAAGTTAAGCTGCAGAAGATAATGATCCATGTTTTGTAAGAGATGCATTGTACTATTTGGTTGATGGAAAAGATTTATTATAATTTCAATTTCCTCTTACGAACTGGTACCAGTCATGGAACAAAATTTTCAGCAGGCTAAAGCCCTACTTAGGTTTAAAATGTGACGAAACCATATGCACCCCAATTCTGTTAAGGTAGATTTCAAAAGATGGGTGGAGACAGGGCTACCCTTGGGCATAACCGTGTCCACAACCGCTGGTAGCTAACACTTTTATTCATTGTTGTGGACGGTGGACCTCTGGTCATGTGAAGCAGAAATTGATGTTTGGTACATATGAATTGCAGACTTTTTACTATTAGGTTGATTGCAGACTTTCTACAGTCAATGTTTTAACCATCTATAAAGTAGATGTATTCTCAAAAGATTATTGTTTTAACTTTCATTATATGCCAGGTTCTATGCGGCAGAGGTGGTTATTGCATTGGAATATCTTCACTGTCTAGGTATTTTGATTAAATGATATGAACATTTTCTGTGCTCCACTTCTCTATTCAATATTCTTTCTAATTGTTTTCTAGTCTAATAAAAAATGGGAAGAAAACCTCGTGAACTTATTGGTGTTCTTCCCAAATCCTGTGGTTAACATATACTGTTTAGTTAATTTTCCTGACACAAACTATAATCAGATGTAATGTGAGTTATTCCCTGAGTATAAGGATTAGCATTTGAAGCACGGGAATCCAACCCAGGATTGACTGATTATAACATATTGGTGTCATTTATGATGGACATCTCAGTCCTATTGCTTTTTTGCTGACTATGCCTGTGGCTTCTTACAGGAATAGTATATCGCGACCTTAAGCCTGAAAATATTTTACTCCATAAGGATGGGCATATTGTCTTAACAGATTTTGATTTGTCGTTTATGACATCATGTAAACCCCTGGTACAAAATCACAATCCTCGCTTCTCTCTTTACAGACGTACTCTTCTTATTTGTTATTATATAGTTTTTTCCATTGCACAGATTATAAGGCATCAATCGCCTAACAAGAGAAGAAGATCGAGGAGTCAACCACCACCAACATTTGTTGCAGAACCAGTCACACAATCAAATTCATTTGTTGGAACTGAAGAGTACATTGCTCCTGTACGGTGATCCCTTTCCATTATGGTTTTAGGTCATCCTACTTTCAATATTTTTATTAGCGTATTAGATAGAGGGGCATGCCTTGTTTTCGTATGGTTCTATAATATTGGTTAACACCTCAGAAAACATTTTCATGCGTAGTCACTACATGGAACTCAGGATCAAAACACATCATGATCTTTTCATCAACAGTAAAATGTATGCATGTGCTTCAAACCATGCTAACTGGCGCTGACATTTTGTATGTCATGTTCTGAAATACTTGTATTACTACAAATCTGGTCAGCTATATTGTTACAGACTACAGTAATGATAATTGTTTTGTCTGCCTATATATTTTCAAAGTTCTTAAGGTGCTTGATTTCAGGAAATTATTACTGGTGCAGGCCACAGCAGTGCTATTGATTGGTGGGCTCTTGGTAAGCATTAAATTTCACCGAAATTCTTACTAATGCTTATGAAGGAATCAATTTTTCAAGTACCACTACTTTGAAAATTACTTTGGTATTCAAAAGTGTGCATATAATAAAAATTTCCAATCATGTTATCATGGAGTTCTTCCCGCCCTACTGGGTAGCTCCTACTTTCTTTGTAGAGCTGCAGTACATTTTATCACTAATGCTTTTGTTTATGTTTGGAATTCAGGTATTTTGTTGTATGAGATGCTGTATGGCCGTACACCTTTCAGGGGTAAAAATAGGCAGAGGACGTTCACCAACATCCTGCACAAAGATCTCACGTTTCCAGGCAGTATTCCGGTATATCTAAGATTGAACTGTGCATCTATTCTGTCATTTTGGACCTTGCGGTCTAAAGATGGATGAAGTTTTAATATTGCGTTTGTATAGTCATTATTTGAAGCTTCGAGCTAATTGTGCACCCGCTAACATTACTTGATGTTCCAGGTTAGCCTTGCAGCACGGCAGTTGATAAATGCATTGTTGCAGAGAGACCCAGACGCACGTTTAGGATCCAATACTGGTGCAAATGAAATCAAGCAACATCCTTTCTTCCGTGGAATTAATTGGCCTTTGATTCGTTGCATGGTAGGGATACATCCATCATTGTTTGATGATAAATTGAAAAACCGGTTTCTAAATACCAATAGTGATGGAGAGAGCCCATCCAGGATTTGAATTCTTAGTAATCTGATGAAGGCAATTAAGTTCTAGTTTTCCTGTCAATTACGTCTCGAAATTGTATGTTTTCTATCTGCAGAGCCCTCCGCCATTAGAAGCGCCTCTTCAACCTATTGAAAGAGATCCAAAGGCCAAGGATATAACGTGGGAAGATGATGGAGTCCTTGTAAATTTAGCGGATTTGGATATTTTCTAAAGGTCTGTTTAATTTCTCTTACATAGATTACGTTTTTGCTTACTTGCTTCTGATTTAGTATAATTTTTTGTTAAGCCGTCACTGCAGTCCTCGCATTACAGACATCGAACGTATGGTATCTGGTTGTTATTACACTCTCATATGTTTACTTTCGACTTTGCAGGACAAGGTCTTTTCCCCCAGTCTTCCTGTACAGCAAACCTCTCCTTCGGAGCATGAAATTCAAATCTTTCAGGCGGAAAGAAACGGATAAGTGAGTTCGTGTCTGGGATGGGTGCAGTAAGTTGTATAGGAAACCAACAGAGAAGTAGAACTTACAACGAGCGATCATATTTAACCGCGAATAAATGTTAATTAGATTGAAATTAATACAACTTAGATATGATGTTAATATGAATGCATGCCATAAACCCTGAAGTTCATGTTTAATTATATATTGGACTCCATTTACCTTCAAGTTTTCAACCCAAGGAAACATGGGAAACGTTGGCCTTCGTACTTCAGCCACTAGCATATCACAGTGACCCTGTCAATGCATACCATTGTCTGAGGGAGACCCTAAACACAAGTACTGTGAAATTTTGGGGCCTTTGGTAAACATTTCGTTTTTAGTTTGTCGACAAGCGATGCAAAAGAAATGTACATATTTTTCCTCTATCTCTAGTAAAAAACAATTGGGATGGATTTTGAGAAGAATGTAAGAATGTTCATCTCTAAAAAGCACAAAAAATGCCTCGAACAGAAGCTATGAATAAACCATCCACACAAGACATATAATCAACGACGAATCGGAGAACATTTCATTGTACAATCCTTAAAACTGCATACGTAACCAAAAACGCACATCAGTTATTACAAAAAAATTTCAAAATAACGATAACAAGAACAATATTAATACAGAAACACTTCAATGTGTATTGATACAAAGGGTGACCATATGCTTGTTCTCCATTACTTGGTTGCCTGCGCGATTATATTACTTATCGAACTAGCCTGCTCTTTTGCAGTCTCCACCAAAGAATCCTAGAACCAAGAAATATGATGCAATTAGCGAGGATGGAAATATTTGACAACAAATGGCACCGATCTAAGAATAACCTATACCTGTGCAGCTATCAATCGTGCAACTGTTTTCTTGCTCGATTCTTGAAGTTCACCAGCAATCAAAATTTCATCTAGTATATAGTAGGCCTACCATGTTGAACAGTAGCAAACGATCAAGCCAGATATCAACATAAAGCAGAAAAATGTCATATGAGGACTCTGGCAAATTTTAGCATTGGTATGGCAAACATGTGGACAAAAACAGTAAAACCAACTCCTTTGTAATGCAATTCCGAAAAACAGAAAAGGCAACTCTTAGACAAGCAGTAAACACATACCTTGTGGAAGTTAAATATCAAATCCAATTCACAGACCTGTAAGTATAAACATATTATTAGTACATGGTACAACAACATCCTTTATCAAAATGAAATGAAGAATATAATGCAATCACTCACACTGCCAAAGTATCGGTCGAGAATCTCAACATAATGATGAATCATTTCAAGGACCTCTAATTCGTTATCTTCTTGATCAATACACATGCAGAAATACAGACTGGCATATCTGCAAAACACGTTCACAGAAATTCAGTAGCGGAAATCTAAGACAGGCCACTCACTAATAATTCTACCCCTAGCAGAGCAAAAACAAAATCACATCTCTCTGCATCACCTTTTATAAACAACTTTGTATCCTCTCCAATCCACAAAATTACAGAGTTTGGGACCTCGCGCAAGAATTACTCCACTGAGCTCACGGAGAACCTTATCAAAATGCAAGATTAATACACACACGGTGATAACAATGTGGGAATCGAAAGCCATTCTCATAACAAGAATCAAAAGGCGTTCATGTTGCTATTCTTCTTGGAATTATAAATTCTAGTGACGATCAAACAACCCGAAAAACTAGATGAGATTTATCGACAATACCTTACTTCTTTCCTTTTGGGTATAAGGAGAATACCATTTTGTCAACCTCACTTTTCCTTGTCTGCTTATTAGAAGCACAAATTGAATCTAACATCATAAACCATTATCAGATCAGCAACCAAACTAAAAACCCAAATAAAATTTAACCCATTTAACCCCAGTCCAAATCACAAATTTCTTACTGAAATACAAATTCCAACAAATATTGCATCGTTTTGAGTAATGGCATGGCAAAGATGGATCACATTGTAATTTTATACAACTATAAAAAGCCATAATTTTTTCATCACAAAACAAATCGAAACACGAAAAGAATCCAGATTAGTAACGATCGATTGCTAATTGGACCCAGATCTGAAAATTCTAATTTCTTGCAACCCAATCTAGGAAATTGAAATTTGAGGACGAGAAAAGGGAAAACAACTAATCGGTAAATTGCGAGATTTGAGAGATGAGTTCGAATTACCATGGCTGCGTTCTCTGTGGCGATCAGTTGCTTGCCCTGCTTCAAAGCTTGAAGATTTCACCAAAACCGAGCTCTAAGCTTTTATTAATATCTCCCGCTGGTCTCAGGAAAAAGCATGGCAAAAGTCCAGGTTGGGCTGAAAACCAACTTCTGAGGCCCAAAATGCCCATAATAAATTCTATTGCAAATTTGCAACGAAAAAAATATGTGCGGAAATCATTTAGCCATTTGATTTCTGTTGTAAAATTTTACTGCTTAGCGATAACACTGTCACTGGCCTCAAGTTGATAACTAAATGTTTCAACTACAACAATTTTTCATAGAGATGACTTCTCAATGATGACCAATTGAAAATACAAGAACCAAATTAACCAAAAGGGTAAAACATGGGAACCAGTTCAATATATCAATGGCTACATGAATGTACAAAGAAACTTAGTAAACTCATGTATTTGTCAAAATGGACTACACATAACATTACTAATAACACAAGTGTGCTTAAGAAAGTTACTGCAATGCCAATTAAGCAAAATTTTCTTCTTTCAATTAATGGAAAACATACCAAACAAATCATAAAAGTACTTTTCCTTTGCTTACATTTTATCGCGCAGTTAAGATAATTGCTTTTTAAGTAAAGCGTTTATAATTACTTGAGTCACAAGTCATGTTGTTAAAAACGTAAACGGTTGTTAGTTTCTTTTCTGTTGGAACTTTCTTTTAAAACCCCAGCACCAGCTGAAGATTAAAGCAATATCTCCCTTTAAAATGTTAGATAATTTTCATCTGCATCTAATCATAGAAAATATTAAACCTAACATTATTCTTTCAATTCAAGAAAATAATAATAGTTTTATAAATTTATTTAATCCAATAATTTCAATGGATTATTTGGTTGCTGAAAGATTCTTCAATTTTTCAAAATTTAATTGAACAAATTTAGATATGTGCCTCGTGTTCTCGTTGACCTCAACAAAACATATAGTGTCAGATGCCTATTCATTTGCCAAACTAATTTTTATTGCCAATATTACATTTAGAAAGAAAAAAAATCAAACAAGCAACAATAAGTATATGAATTGAATTATTGAAAATTTGAAAGTTTGAGCAGTGTGCTCAAACTTTTTATTTTAAGTATCCTTGCAGTTAGTTGTAGACTTGTGCTGAGTTAAGTTAGTTAAGCAGTGTGCTCAAAGTTTAAATCTGTATTTATGTAGTTTAGATTAAATAAAATTATCGTAAACAACTCATCGGACTTAGTCAAAGTGGTACGGAAGGAGGGCAAGGGGTGTTCCAAGTGTAATGGTTCTCACCCCTACAAGGAATGGTCGGTGCCTCACACTTTACCATTGTAGATGAGCTAATCTTCATTTATTTTTTTTTAACAATCGATATTAACTACACTAAGGGGAGAAGGTGGGCTTAGCCTCACAATGGACTAATAAATTGGTTCAAAATTCGCTTTTGACGAGAGTTGAACCTAAAACCTCACTAATCAGTGAAAGAGGAATACTACTAGACCGTAATACGTGGTGGCTAGATGAGCTAATCTTGTTTAATCCTTTTTTACGTTTAAAAAAAAACAAAAAGGTATTAGTAGTTTATTTAAGTGGTAGGAAAGATGAATCGACGAGTTAAAATTATGATAAATTTAGGGTTCATTTCCCTCTCCAATACTACAAACAGAAACTGCATTTGCTTGATTAATGCTTGATGTTGCTTACTGGTTTTTCATTTCTTCTGCACTGTCTTATAAATGATTAATATCTATATGTATTTTTACATGAAATTAGAAATGTATTCATATAATTAACAGCCAATTACATGAGAACCGTAAACCAGAAACAAAAACAAAATCTGAAAAATATTGCCTCCCTTTACATCCACAGATCCTCTCTCCACAAACAGAAACTGCATTTGCTTGATTAATGCTTGATGTTGCTTACTGGTTTTTCATTTCTTCTGCACTGTCTTATAAATGATTAATATCTATATGTATTTTTACATGAAATTAGAAATGTATTCATATAATTAACAGCCAATTACATGAGAACCGTAAACCAGAAACAAAAACAAAATCTGAAAAATATTGCCTCCCTTTACATCCACAGATCCTCTCTCCACAAACAAAGAACTACTAATTACTTAATTAATTAAAATCAAATAACTAATAATACCAAGAAAAACCACCATTAATGTAGGAGGAAGAGATATTAACTTCCTCATCCAGTTTTGCATGACAAGTTTTGACCTTGAAGAACAGTGACCTGCAAACTGGGCAGGTAAAGTGACTGCTCTCAATCCACCTCTCAATGCAATCAACGTGGAAAACATGTCCACATTTTCCCAATTGGCTCACCAAATCCTCCTCCTCAAAATCCACCAAGCAAACTGAACATGTCTTCTCCAAAACTTGTCCACACCGTTTGGTACCATGAGCCTGCAAGTACTGGAACCTAGCCACTGGAAGACTCATACACTCCTCCTCTTCCTGCTGCTGGAAATGAGTGAAAAATATCATGCCAAAAAATAATCTGCCCAGAAACTTCTTCATCTGGTGAAATGGGATCCAGAAACATGTGTAGAAAAATATTACTGCCATGCCCAAATGGGACTGAGAAGCCATTAGACATATCATTTCCGGCAATCTTCGAGCTCGTATCGGAAACAAAAACAAGATCTTCAAGCAAAATTATGAAAACCCAAGTGCCAGAATTTGATATTTTGTATTGTTTGTGTGAGTGCAATGAGGCTGTTATTAAATGTGTGAGTGATATGGAAGAACCACATATGTAGCTGTTTATATAGGAAGAAAGTTTTTGAGTGTTACTTTTCGTTGTCTTATAAAAATAAAATTTAAATGTAGTATTATTTTCTTGGTTCTGACTTTTTTAATTGTGTTATTTTATTTCGATATAAACGTGTTTGATTTTTATATTAGGAAACTTCATTTTAATTCTCGTCAAATATGACTTTTAGATTAAAACCATGAGTAAGATCAAAATCTAATTTTAGTCATTTGATACATTAATCATCTCATTTATTAATTATATTTTTGATGTTTTAATTATTTCTCTTTTTCTTCCTAATTTTAATGTATTAACTTTATGTCATTACAATTATAATTATAATTTCATTCATTTTAATATATTTTGTTGTAAACATTTAGATAAACTAATTTTTATTTTACAATATATTTCGATATACTTTGTCTTCTTCATTTAGATACATTAAATTCATTATAATACATTTTGGTGCATACATTTAGGTACACATATTTCAGTACATACATTTCGATACAAACATTTAGGTACATTAATTCAATATAATACATTTCGCTACATTAGTTTAATATAATACATTTGGGTACAAACATTTCGGTATACACATTTAGGTACCTTAGTTTAATATAATATATTTCGGTACTAACATTTAAATACATTAATTTAATATAATACATTTTCGGTACTAACATTGAGTTTTTCAAGTTTGAAGAATGTTAAATAAAATTAATAAATTTTAAAAAAACTTTTGTTTGGTCAAAAAATATATTAAAATGTGTAGATTAATAAATTTAAATATTTAATGGGAGACATTGAATAAAATACACATTAATTATTTTGAATTAATGACATATTAAAGGACTATAATCAATATGCAATCTAACATCAGCTTTATTTTAAATTTCAAGCTTGACTTTGAAGTCGGCGGAGGAGGAGGGGGCGGTGCCGACCCCACATCGTTATGGTCTTTAATTAAACATAATTTTACTACTTAAACAAGTACAACTTGTATCTAATTATATTCAATAGTAATTAGTATATACTTAAAATTTGGATCAAACAATAAGTAATGGTTTTGTTTTGATTTATGGGAAAGTTGTTTGAAGCGCGAATAATGGTTTTCTTGTGATTTAATTAATGTCCGGTTAAGGATGCAAATGCAGGTTCAATTGTAAATGGACGAGGATCCTCTCCGGATTTTTTTTTAGGAATCCGGATGATCAATCAATTATAATCATTTATTGTACATTGTGCAGTCAATTTTCGTTAGGTACTGTTTATATTTAATTTAAAATAATTTATAACCGTACGATGTATGATGAATGGACACAATTGATTGATCCTTTGGCACCCCATAAATAGGATCCGGATGGGATCCTATTCCATTGTTAATGGCTTGATTACTATTTGTCTAGCCTTCAGACCACTTTATAGACTTGTTAGAGTAATGCTAGGGAGACTAAATTTGTAGACAAAATATTGTAAACTAAATGACATGAAAGTTGATGACTGGATTATTATGTAAACATTGATGAACGTGCACATTCTTATTGGTGACACATCATTTAGTTTGTAAATTTTGTCTACAAATTTAGTCTCCCTAGCATTACCCGACTTCTTAATATACGTTTTTAGATTCATCATTTACTTATCAAACAACACATCTACATAATTTCCAACTCATGAGTTTATTAAATATATAAGATGATCACCACTTTATTTATTACTGTTAGATGAGTTTAAATTTCGAGATTTGTGTAGTGAATATATACAAATTTCAAAATTTAAAATAATCAAACGGTGATAAATAGGGTAATGAACATTACCACTTGAGGGTGGTGAGCAAAAATTCACCCTATTGGATAGATCATAGAACTAATGTGGGGGTCAGGTAAAACCAAATACAAAGTCCTATGCTTTGTGAGAGTTGTATTACAAATGATATGATGAGACACCCTTATCTAAAATTTTCCCAAATATTAGAAAATTAATCAGAAACGGAATTTCAAGTATTTATAATGTTAGGTAGACTAACTTTTTAAACCAAATTCACAAACCATGAGATGTGTCACAATTGGAAATAAACACGTTAATAAACACTTAAGTAATAATCTAAGTATCAACAATCACGTCATATAATTTATAAAATTTGATCTTCCTAACGGTACTCCTAAAGAATTTGCTGATGCACAAAGTCCTATATCTGGTATTCGAAATCGAGGTTAGTCCCTCTATTTTAATGCCTAACAAAAATACACACAAAACCAAAACGAAAGCTCAAATGACTCCGTAATCAGCTCCTTAACTCAGGTTCAATTTGTTTCGATGTTAATCTAGGTTAGTCAATGATTATCTGCACAT